GTGTGTGTGTGTGTGTGTGTGTGTGTGTGTGTGGCTGTTGTGTTGTCGGGGCAGAGCTTTCCAGAAAAAACCCAGGACTCGCTTCACTGCTCCTGGTTTAGACGAAAGCTAACAGGCTGTTTTGCTTAGAGCAACTGTTCCCACACTGGCTGTCGAGCCACTGGAGGTGTCACTTCCTCATCCCCTCATCCTTCTATCATCACACATCACACAAACTAGTGGGGGGGGGGGCAGATTACAACTAATTCAAAGGATTGTGTGCAGCAGATTAATAATAAGAAGCTAAGATTGCAGTGTCAGCCTCACGTCCACTTTATATCCACGGCATGTTCCTATTTCCTAACTCCTAACTTGGTCTGTTTTCCTGCTGTAACAAAAGTTTATGGAGTGATGCCGTGCTGGGAAGTGAAGTGGGGACACTAGAAGTGTTATGCTCTTTGCAGCAGGTAGTTTGGGGTTTTATGGGAAGTTTAGTGTAAAATGTGACACATTACACCTCAGACTTGTTTTCAGTTTTACTGGAACTACATGGTGTGCTACCACCCCAGCATGGCCACGCTTGGGCGGGGGAGATGTAGATAGTATAAATGAATGTTTATAAAAACAGAACATGTCCTGCCTCTGGCAGTCGCTGACATAGCATCTCTGTGAAATTACATCTCCACAGTGTAAATGATAAAAGAACAACAACCTTATCTGTACATTTTAATGTTAACCAGTAGATTTAGTTATAAAGAAGCGTGTTGTGTCTCAGCTGAAACTTAAAGACAAATGAAAACAAATGAGATAAATGGTGTGTGCTGCAGATTCTCTGAATAAAAGACTAATTAATTTGTGTTATAACTATTTAAACTTTTAAGTTTAAATGCGCTAATGTTCAGAAAACCTCACTTCCTTCATACTGTCCGTTGCTGCAGCTCCTCTGTTCAGCCTCTGTCTGACAACCTTGGTTTTATCTGCTGCCTCTATAAAGGGGCATTGTGATGTCAGCTGAACTATTGATGAGGTTTTTTTTTTTCACTTTTAAAAAACCTCAAACCCAACACACAAGAGGAAAGAAAACTGAAAAAGCTAAATGTCTCCTGTGAAAGTTCAGTTGTGTGTGTGACTGATCCTCCTCTTTCTCAACACTGTCTCCGTCTGTTCAGGCCGACCTTGACGATGACCCACAGGAACCTGACGGGAAGTTGCAACGTGAACTGTGGCTGCAGGATTAACGAGTACGCTCCTGTCTGTGGCTCCGACGGCATCACCTACTTCAACCCCTGTCTGGCTGGATGCAGCTCTGTGGGCAATGACAGCACTGGGGTGAGTTAACACACACACACACACACACACACACACACACACACACACACACACACACACACAGGCAGAAACACACATTCACCTTCTTCCTCCACTCACGCTCCTTTTGTTTTCCCATCAAATAAATAATTAGACCAAATTAATTCATGGATCAGATACAATAGAAAAGGAAATGACTGGTGAAAATGGTTTCGGAGAACTAGCACACGAATCATGAAGTAAACACAAAGAGCCGTTGTTGTACTTTCTCCTCCCGAAGCTCTGAAAGTACAGGAAGTGTCCGACTCCACAACAATGTCAGACAGGAAATTGTGATAACACGAGGAAAGAAAATGTCTCGATTCTTCGTCCAGATCACTGACTGCGACACAGGGCTGGTGCCACCCAACTTGTGTGTGTGTGTGTGTGTGTGTGTGTGTGTGTGTGTGTGTGTGTTACACTACAATAATCATAGTCTTTTTAAGGGAGTTAGCTTCAGAGTCTTTAGTGTGAGAGGACGGTTGGATTGACTCATGTTGTTTGTGTCCACAGATCAGAAACTACACCGACTGCGGCTGCGTGCAGAGCAGACAGGTCATCACGCCGTCCTCCGGTGGGCAGGTCAACCAGCTGCAGCTGGTCATTGTCAAAACGTACCTGAACGAGAACGGCTACGCTGTGTCAGGGAAGTGCGACCGCACCTGCAACACACTCATCCCTTTCCTCATCTTCCTCTTCATCGTCACGCTCATCACCGCCTGTGCCCAGCCCTCCGCCATCATCGTTACACTCAGGTAAGGGACACCCTGACTCATTGACTGTTAATGGTGTCTGGACTCAATTAAGGTTTTCTCCCTCACATATCTACAATTTGGCAAATGGGAGTCCTTACCTTTGTCTTTTCTCAGGTCTGTTGATGAGCAGGAGAGGCCTTTTGCTCTTGGGATGCAGTTTGTCCTGCTCCGAACTCTTGGTAAGTTCCTGACTGTTTTTACACTAATAATAGAAACACCCACTGTTTGTTGCAATCTCGTCAATCAGAATAAAACCTCTTGAAATCCTTTGTGTTGTTGAGTCAGCTTTGTTCATAAAGATTAGTAGTTTTTCAGAAATCACAAAGGGTGTAATGTGATGTATCTGCAGTGGATTTGTCAATATTTGTATTTTAAATATCCTCTCGAGCTGCTCAAGGATTTGGCCCAGAGTGGCAGTTTTTCAGGATTCTTGTATTCTCAAAGTTTTTCCAGGTTGTTTTAAAGTGCAGTTAATTTTTACCTCCTGCGTTCGCTCCCTCACTTGTGCTTGAATAAATGCACAGTTTCACAGAGAGCAGGAATGCAGCGTTGTTGTCGTCCTCAGTGAACTTTAGTCTTGGTGGCTGCAGAAAAGTGCTCGAGGGTTAATAATCTGTGTCCTGACATGTTTCTCATTTTTTTGGTATGACTGTGACCGTAAAGCCGTCACATCGCTTTTGACGTGTGTGTGTGTGTGTGTGTGTG